AGATAGGGCAACATGGCATGTTAGGCCAGGTTGTCCAAAATATGCTTATTATTCATCTTTTTATATGAATTATTGATAAAAATCCTCATTTTCTATTGAGTAGGTATTTCAACTTGTATTTAGTTTCTTGATTATTGGAACATTAGCCAGGCCTACCCAATTATCAGTATCACTGGCCGATTTTTCTCACTTATATTTTTTATCACACGCCTAGAATTAATTAAAATGATTTGCTTTTTTAAGTTTGACTAATGAATATTTTATTTCAAAACTCCATTAACTTTATTACTTGCATTACAATTTTCATTAAAATATATTGATTTGCTCAATATTATAATTCGTCAATGGATCTTTAGTCTAGTGTATAAAAGATGTTTTCACGCATTAACGAGATTCAACGGATGGTTTACCTAATAATTAGTTGGGATTATGCTTTCAAGCCAGGGTTTGTCTTGTTTACAAATATATACTCAGCCAGCTAATTCCAACAAAGTCTACATATTATCACATAAAACCCCAAATCTCACAAGCTTCCATCGCTACAAAATGGCTCAAATGAGTTTCTCTCTCATCCTTCTCTCTCTCACTACAATTCTCTCCCTTCTAATCCCTGCCCTCAATGCTCAATCTGCTCCGGCTCCCGCCCCCTCTGGCCCTATCAACATTACCGGAATCCTGGAAAAAGCCGGCCAATACACCACCTTCATCCGCCTCCTCAATCAAACACAAGCAGGAAACCAGATCAATAACCAACTGAACAATTCCAATGAGGGAATGACTGTTTTTGCCCCCACAGACAATGCATTCCTTAATCTCCCCGCAGGTACTCTTAACAAGCTTTCAGCCCAACAACAAGTGCAGCTTGTTCAATACCATGTTCTTCCTAAGTACCACACTATAGAAAACTTGCAGACAGTCAGCAACCCTGTTAGAACTCAGGCAACAGGCCAAGATGGTGGAGTTTTTGGGCTAAATTTCACAGGACAGGGCAATCAAGTTAATGTTTCTACCGGAATTGTTGATGTCCCAATTTATAATGCAGTCAGAAAAAACTTCCCTTTGGCTGTTTACCAAGTGGACAAGGTTTTGTTGCCTGTGGAATTTTTCCAAGCCAAGGCTCCGGCTCCTTCTCCTCCGGCCCTCAATGGCACGAAAAGTAATTCCGATGACGATAACAAAGCACCTGATGCCTCGTCTCCGGCAAATGGATCTGGGAAGATGAGTTTGGGATTTGGATTGGTCTCTGGCCTTTGGTTAATGCTGTGCTATTTGGTATAAAAATGATGGGATAAGTTGCTCTGGACCGTTTAGACCTGCATTAAATTGATTCATGCATGCATGTTTTCTGTCTGGATTTCTACTTTAATTATTTTCATTTTTTTTCTTTTTTTGTATTGATATATTAATTTCGTTAACTTGTTTTCTTCGATGGAGTTCGACCGTTTCATGTAACTTCCTCTTGTATTAATTACTTGATTTAGATGTAAATATAAATTTGTGATGCAACTAGTCGATAATGATGATATATAGCTTCTACCAGCCCATCGATGGCGAAGATTATCATTGCCAAATAATGGAGGTAGGTGAGATATTCAGACAGCAATAGGCTAATGGTGACAAGTATCGTAATTTTTATATACAGAAATGACATAATTTACGTATTGTACATTTGACAATAGATGGTTGCTATTGTGACGGGAGCCATAACTGGTCCTCCAGTAGGGGTGCCAAATTGGTGCCTTGTCATGGGGCCTGTCACGACCTCCGTTTGAATAGAATTATTCTTGACAATATATTGCTCTAATAAGGGGGCGTTAAATTGGAGCCCTATTAAAGGGCCTGTCACGATCCCTGTTTCAGTAGAATTATTCTTGTAAATATATTGCTCATCATAATTCTAATTTTTACTAGACAAAATGATGTATTGTATTTAATATAATAAATTACACTAATTGAATACGATTCAACTAACACGTCTATAGTGCATGTGAGCACACTTGACACGTGAGTGCATGCCTGTAGTAAGGTCATTTCAAGTTATGTGTCAGTTTGGCCTCAAATAGGAAATATTTGATAATTTTTTTAGAGCAATGATATTTAGTATTACTGGTATTTAACACAATCTAGGTGACAACATTAGTAATATTGAATTACATGTTCAATTTACATAAATTATATAATTTCACATTTAATTGAATCTATCACATAATGTTATGTAAACTAATACTAGATAGCATTATATTTTTTCTTATGAGTTACTTATCATTGATCATTTGCATCGAGATTTCATGTCTAGCTATTTCTTCAACAATTTCATATAATTATTTGCATCCGACTGTCACATCCTACCAATCATATATGTCTAGCAATCAAGTTGCACAATTTTTAGTTGTAAGTATACGCATTTAAAACACCGAGTGTAACATTTGCAATGTACACATGCACGAGTATAGGTACTGCATTTTCACTAGCTTTGATTATATCAAGATCTGATTATAGGTACACATGCTATCTCTCACAAGATAGCATCTTGATTGAGAGTGTCAATTTTGAAATTCATATGGTCATTTGAGTATTTAGAGTTTGAATTGTTTGTTCGGATCATCTAATAAATAAAGAGATTCAGATTGGCGATGTGTTGGATTATTTATTTTATTTTATTTTTTAATTTTTTTTCTAGGATATGTAAATTGTATTTGTGCAACAAGTGCGTTACCTGTAGGAGTAACACACGTTACCTTAAAAATAATGAATTTTGATAATTTAGAAGTTGAGTAAATTGTGACAGCTGCGACACGAAAGAAATATCTTTTCAATAATATTTTCAAAAGGATTGCAAATGGTTATGTCGATTAACCAATAATTAAAGGTTCTTGATTGGTTCTAGAACCACTAAACCTATGTTTGACACTTATTAAATTTCATTACATTACATTTCATTTTTCACTCTCTTATTTTTAACTACACATCTTCCATAAAATAATATTACACATAAATCGAAAACTTTTCATTTTTCAACCACTCATTTTTCAAAAAAACATTATTCCACCAATTTTCATTTCTAGAAAATGGGGGCCAAACGAGGGCTAAGTCTACATTACATGCAATAGTACCTAGATTTACTATTAGAAAAATATATAAAAGATCATTGGGAAATAAATGTTTTAATAAAATGTAGTATATTGTAAAACAGTGTGTTATTTTTGTGAAACAACATTTTTTTAATAAATATGCATCACAAAAAAAATAGATAAATAATTGAAAATGAACAATATTTTACAAGTAGCGCAGTACACATGTATTGCCTAACTCATAGTTCGTAAAATGTTGGTTTTTACTAAAAAGTAAAATAAAATATTATTTTAATGATAAGTAGATTTAAAGTCAATTAAAATTAATTTTTTGATCATTATTTAACTATTCCCGTCGTCATTTTTGAATTCTTCTCTTATAGGTAGGACCCACTTTATCGCTAACGGTCAAAAAATAAAATATCAAAATCCCTACCAAACAAGCGTTAAAAATTATAAATTGACGTAGGTGTAAAATTTTGATTTTTAATGAAGAATAGGTAATTTTGAGGGGAAAAAATTTTGTAGAATGGAATATTTTAAATTTTTTTTGGAGAAAAGTAGGTAGGTTTGAGGTTATCCCACCAAAAAAAATTAATAATAATAATAATAATAATAATAATAATAAAATAATAAAATAATAAATTGTAAAGAAAGAAAATAAAAATTAAGGCTAAATATATTCACATCATATTTTTTAAATAATTAAACTACATTTAATTACATGAAATATTCTAAATCATTACACATTAAATGTTTTCAAACTTTTATTCATTACATTTTTATTCACAAATTAACATAAATTATTCTTGTTGCTCCAAAATTTTCTTTAAGATAAAATAAAAGGATATATTTGCCTTTTATAATTTTGAATAAGCGAAACAAATGCGATTAAATATTTGTCATTTTAAAGCACGTTAATGATATAATTGGATGAAAATTATAATTAAACACAAGACTTGTTGAATAGTGAAATGTTGAAAATAAGAATGTGATGAAGAAAAAAGTTAAGAATATAAATGTAATAGTAAATAAAAATTAATGATTTTAATGTAATTAAATTGTGGTATATTTATAAAATATAAAATAAAAAATGTGATGTGAAGTAATAAAAATATGAAATTCTCAAAAACTCCAAGAATAATACTAAGGTAGTGTTTGATAGCATGAAATTACATGGAAATGGAATTCCAATTCTATCTTTTCCATTTTTTTTGTTGTTTGGTAGCACAATTATTTCCATGGAATCACAATTATTGATTGTCTTGGAAAGTGTGGTTTTTCATGTTTTCATGGTTTTCCCGGGTATTGTAGCAATTTTTTAATTTTTTTCCCTTTTTTTTTGTAATGGAAACAAATTCTAAGAATTATTGTAAAGAAATATTTCTCTTTAATTGACAATTTTCACGTAAAACAAAGTCAAACGAACACCCAAAGATAGCTGAATTTCTTGAATTTTTTATTTTTTTTGGTAATGGAAACAAATTTTATTTTCAATACCAGTAAATTTCATCCATTTAATTGACAATTTTCATGTAAAATAAAGTCAAACAAACATCAAAAAATATTTTTATTCTAACATTTTCCACTTGGAAAATTATACCAATCAAACACAATAATTTATTATTCCCAGGAAAATAATTTTTAGGCAATTCAATTCCATCTTTGCAATCAAACGGACCTAAGTGATTAATACTCTAAAGCCCTAAACGGCTAAAACACTAACCCCTTCCCCAATTTCGGTCTCTAAAACGGGAAATACATGAAAATAGCCTTTAGAAAGGGCTTCTTTTTCAAAATGACCTTTGGTCAATTTACATACCAAAAATGCCCTCCATTTGGATATTACATAATATGACACTATAATTTAGAAATCCTCCATTTTAGTCCTTAAAATTAAATATTGGTTGAAATTTGATAGTTTTTATTTGATTTATTAATACTTTTAATTGGATTTATTTGATTTTTATTCGCTCTAAGTAGCCCTTCCTTATTGGTATCAGAGCCATAGAAATCATGAGAAAACCTATAAAAAATAGATTACTTGAAGAAGTAAAAATCTTTAGATTTAGATTAACACTTAGATTTTATATAAGTTTAATAAATAACAGATTAACTATTAGAAAATTAAAGGAATATTTAGATTATACATCTTTAAAATAATAATTGATTATAATACACAAATATTTACATCTTGATAAAAGCATAGAGATTATAGAAATTAAAATAAGAAAAATAGATAATTATTGGCGTTTAGAAGAAGAGAGAGGTAGTTATATATTTTTAAAACCTATTCATAATAGATTAAAAATAATGACACTAACAATAATTAAAAAGTTGCCTAGAGAAATAATGGAACAAATATTAGAAAAATTAATAATAGAAAAAATAAAGGATATATATATATATGAAAAAATTATTAATATATATGAAGATGAAGAAAATAATTTATATTACAAAAAAAAATATGAGTGCAAGTAATAATACACATTTAAAATTGAATAAATTACTTATAAAAATGGAAAAAATACAAAAGGAAATACAAAATATAATGTTAATACCAGAGGAATGAGAATATCAAATAATAGATAATTAATAAAATTAAAATGTGAAAGTTTAACACTTGAGAGTAGATATTTTACTATAATAAAAGAAGAATTAGTAGATCCAGATACAGTTAAGAGAAGATTTTGAAAAATAATACATAAAAAGGAAGACAAAAGATGCAAATTAACCTATAAGTTAGAAATAAGAAAAAATTAAGATGTCAATAAGTGAATATATGGAAGAATTAAAATCATTAATAAAAATGTTAATAAATGATGTACAAGATTTAAGAAATGAAGTAAAGGAAACAAGAAACGATATAAATATATTAAAAATTGAAATTAGAAAATTTAAAGAAAATAATAAAAATAAAGATAATAAAATAGATTAAAAAAATTTATAGAAAAGAAATGACTCGAATAGAAAAGAAACATATAGAAAAAGAGAATATAGTAATAGAAACAGGAAGTATGGATGATGAATTTAGAAAGAATATATTACAAAAAATATTAAAAGAGGAAGAAGAATCTAGAGAAAAATTAAAAGTTGAAGAAAAAAAGAATGAAGAATTAGATTTATTCGTAGAAAACGTTGATCAATTAAGTTTAACTGATATAAGTGAATACCAAGTTTTAATGAATACTGGAAGAAAGCATAATCCAGCAGGAATTTCCAAACAAGAATTACATAATACATATGAAAGTTATGCACCTATATATAATCAACTTTATAAACAATTTTATGATAAAGTACTAGATAGACAATCACCTAAAAGAAATAAGTATAAAAATAGGTTTGAATTAAATGATAATTATGATAAACCAACAAAATAAA